CAGATCAAGCCAATCAACTGTCTCACCTATTCAGAGGGCCTGATCCAGTTGGGGGCCCCTCAGCCTTTGGTTCATAGTTCATGTGTTTCCATTCAGGCCATAACACAACTTTAAAAATATCACAGAATTCAAGTAATTTTTGAAAAACTCCACTGATTAAGGCAAATCTGATCATGACTAGAATTTTGGTGGCTAGTTTTGTTTTGTATTACTTTTTTTTTTTAATTTATTCAGTCACTCACAAATTGTGGAAGAATAAAATAACAATAGATTTAATCCTTTGTGAGAGTTAGTTAAAACATTTTGAGTTCAGAACATGATAAGAGCCCTACAAGATGGAGCTGAGGTGTATACCTAAGATGGAAAAAAAGCAGAATGTGTCTTTGATCCTTGGACTGATGAGTTCACTGGTGAGCTTTCATGAATCTTCACAACCATAAGGCAGGACTTCATAAAAACCTGATTCATGACAAGCTGAGTAGGATGTTGGAATACCTGAGGAGCAGTATCTGCAAATGAACCCAAGGCCTTGGCAAACAGAAAGAAAACAGCCCGGAGGTGTTCCTTACTTTGTAGTGTAACTGAAGTTTCTAGGAAAGATTAACCAGTACATTTCTACCTGCAATAATAATAGTGATGAACAGTGAATGACAACAGGTAGTTTGTTTGACATTGTCCTTACCAAAAACTGAAGGGAAACAGCTGTGATTGAAGGTAGGAAGAAAATAACAAAGTTTTCTTACAGTTTCCAGACCAAATGCCAACATTAAAACAACAATATAAGTATCTATAAATGGAGGTGGTTTGGCCCAGACAGGCTGGCAAATATTACATTTAAGTGAAAGGGGCACCAAAATACTTCCTTCTCTTTTAAAAACCCAAAGAATTTTAATTTAAACTTAATTACAGTTTTAAGTAAAGCATTACACATTAATTATCCAGTCTCCAAGGACATGCAAAATAATGTCCTTTCACAGGAAGTGGGCTCAGTGTTGACTAGTTGCCAACTGTCAAACTAGGGGATTTTTAAAGAGACCCATGTGCAGAGGTTTTAAAAAGTGGAGGAAATAAAATGATATATGTGTATAAATAATTAACATGCCTTCTGTAATAATTCTCTGTGAAACCCTAACTTTTACAATGAAAAAGACGAACATGGCAAATTGGAAAGTATTACCTCAGCCTTGTAAGGGTGAGAAAATGCAGTATCATTTTACGTAAAGCTAAGTAATGCCAATCAAGAAAATATTCAAATTTAGAGATTCATGTCCTTATAATACAAATATCTTCTAAATTCTGAAATGCCCACTTTTAAAAAAAAAGAGTAAAATCTACAAATAAGTGCATAAATTATGAGTTATGGTATCTAAATTAATTTATAGGCTAAACCTAAGAATATCCTAGATGCATATCTATTCATTTGCATTTATTGCCTTTAAAGTTAGCATGTATATAATATAGGTAATTGACTCAAAACACAGGAAATCATCATTCCTAAGGGACTAACATTGATTATAAGTGCAGACCCTGGTTAGTCTTGAACAAATAAGAAACCTTAATCAAAGGCTATTTGCAGAACTCCCAGATAAGCATTAGCTATTTGAGCAGAAACTGAAGTAAAACTTCCATTGGTAGAGTTTGAAGTAACACAAATTTCTCATTTCTAGGCAATCAGTAGAGTGTCAATGTGCTTCATCTTCCAAAAGAAGCTTGTGTATCAACCTATCGTCGATATTCATATTTTGAAATATAGATAGTTTTAAAGTGTAAAATTATATTAAGCTACTATTGACAGTAGTAAGGTATAGTTTTCATGTTAATTCCAACTCCTGATTCTCATATTGTTTCTCTTCCCACAACAGTCTAAGAGATTTGACAGATAAGCTTTTGCTTGTATTTTGGGTGGGGGGGGGCAAGTGTTGGAGGTCAGATTCACAATCTTACATGTGACAGGTCTCTCTACCACTCAATTCCAGAGCATTCTCTTTTTCTCAGAGATGATTCATTCATGTGAGTAGAGTACATGTTTTCATTTGAATTTTTTTGGCCATTGTTTTGTTCTTCTTTTCAATAGTTTCTTGGAAATTTCATACATGATCCCCACTGGGGCCTTGTTATGACTCTAACCAGTTTCTCAGTGGGCCCAGTCCTCTTCTCCAAGTGTTGATGTGGACAGTTCCTACCATGGGAAAGACAACAGACACCTGACAGATAGAATACTTGGGCCAGCTGAAAAGTCGCTGTCACCAACCAACATGACATTGCATAAGAGACATAAACTGGGGAGTGGGACAATCCATGTGGGTTCCAACTCACAGAGGTGGAGAGGGTTAGTGCTGCTGCTGAATTCCAACTTGCTGGCCACAGAGACCAAAGCTGAGCCACTAATAAGGTGCTGTTCCTTCAGGAAACCAAATTAGCAGTGGATCTCACTTGATCCCTTCTACTCTTGGAAGAAGCACTGACATATTTTTGTAGATAACAGACACATCTTTCTGAATGTAAGCATGACTTTAGTTTTTGGCCACAAGGCCTTAACAAGCCTGGGCTTACAGATCATGTGGTATACATGGTCTCTGGTAACTGCCTCAGATTTAGGGGTTAGCTGAGCCTTATACTCTTAATAACCTGTTTTGGTCTGAGACAGGGTCTCAGTATGTATCCAAGGCTGGCCTCTAATATTTCATCCTTAAGTCTCAGCTACATGGGTTCTAGGCTTATAGGCATGTAGCACGACTCCTGATTGCCATAATACATTTTGAACTACGTGCTCTTGCTGTTGTCCAAGACCACTAGAAACTATCATGCTATGCCTAATTGTATGTCACACAGGAAAGGAAAAAGAGCAAGTGTTTGTTTAGTTTTCCTACTATAAGCTAGTTGATGAGTGCGTGTGGCATAAGAATAACAGGCTAGAGAGGTGGCTGAGTGGATACTTGCCACAGAAACCTGACTGCCTGGGTTTTGATCCCCAGTGAAAGGAGAGAATGGACTTCTTAAAGTTGTCCTCTGGCCTCTACATGTATGCCGTGTCATGTGTGTGCTAACACACAGACACACACCACACACATATTGCTTTTAATTTTTAAGAAAACACCTGGAGAAAAGAAGTGAACAGTAGTAAGAAACATACATAGAATTGCAACATACACATATTGACTGCCACGTGGACCTACCCACTTGGCACCATGGAAACTGCTGACGCTCCTTCGTGAGCATTATCATCTTTGTGCACAAAAGGAAACAAGGTTGCTCTGATAGTTCCTCTACACACCTACAATAGCTTTGTGTCTACACCTCGAATGCACTCATTCATTTCAGTTCTCACATCACCTGGTTGTCAAGGAAACAGGCATCAGCAACACTTTGGAAATGGTGAAAAGAATTCCCTGAAATAATGGATGTATATTGTATATTTTGGTACATAAGACTTCACACTTCTCTGAGGATCAATGATTTTCCTGTGTTAATGAATCAAATTAAAACTCATTGCAAAGTATGACATCAAAGCCCGATAGGTTAGACTCTATGAACAAAGCTCACTAAAAGCAGAATAGTAACCAGGCTAAATACTAGTTTGATAATTAAGAATTATTACAGAATTTACCCATTATACAAAACCTATAGTATACTATGTATTTTTGAAAATTATAATATTTGCTTAATTCATTGAAATTTATTTTTTAAATCAATAACTAAGAACAAGCATAGAAGTCATTGACTACAGATAACTAATTAATTATAAATTATAAATTCATTTGCTTGGGTCTATATTTTTATTAAAGACAATATAGTGAGATAACTTAGGCCTTATTGTCAAATATCTTATGGCAGCTAGCTTCCCAAAGTGAGGAGAGGGACACA